TCTGTGGAAGAAACAAACTAGGTTTCTGGAGAAATGAGAAAGATTGTGGGAGGAAAAGAATGGTTGTGATAAATCCAATTGGTTGTAGACCACGTAAAATAGATGGTTAGAGAAATAATCCAAGTAGACATATTCACAGAAAATGAGTAAAATAGACCCATTACCTTCAGATCCAAGTAACACTAATACTAAAAAGTGCTATTCGTCAGTATAGGTTTCAGTTGTGTAGTCTTGACCCATAACTGTACAGTATTCAATAAACTGAATATTCTAGCTGTTGTATTATTTTGTGGATTTATTGCCCCATAGTTACTGCAGATGTCGAAACGGTTGTAAACACGTTTTTTTACGTAGTCACATGCACCTTGTTTAACAAGCTTAGTAAAGTTCAACACTAAACGGAGAGCACCTTAACTCGTTTACCAATATTGTGAGTGCTTAATCAGTTAACACGCATACGATATTAGTAAAAAAAAGAAGAAAAAAAAAGATAAATAAAGTTCCTGATCACTTAACGTGCTCGTAAAAATCTTAGAGAAAAAGAACAACCAAAATGTCTCCAAAAATGAAAAGACTTAACACTGTTTTCTTATCTGCTCTTTTCACACTGTACACATTATATGTATATATATGTGTGTGTGTGTGTGGTGTAAATAAACGCTTCTGTCAGGTTCCTTCTTAAATGAGAAGGAAAAAAAAGGTTTAGAAGACAACACTGCGAAGAACGTTTGCAGAGCGCGACGGCGACCAGACGACCGACTCTCACCGGCAGTTGCCCGACGCCCTCAACATGTTCATACATGCATGACACACAAATACAACGTATATAGCGTATACAACACAAATCAGGTGACACATAACAATTGACACAATAAATTTATAGGCCCACAGTAACATAACATTATAGTGTGTGCGTATTGGTAGGACTGAAGGTATTAGTTTGAGTAAATGGTGATGACGGTGATAATAATGATAATGATGATAATGATAATCACTATAATCATGATGATGATGATAACGATAAATATGGTAATGGTGGTGATAGAAGTAACAACAGTAAGAGTAACAGTGATTATCATTCTGTATATCAGTAGAGTTGTAATAATTAGAAATAAACACGGTAACGATGAAACAACAGCGATGATATCGAACACCAACACTTAAGATTTACCCTATTATGTGACCCCTTCGACACGACAACACCTATTAACGGAAAGTTATCGACTTCTTGTCAAGGCTAACGAGGAAAACATTCGACGCTGATGAACAGTTTATATTCTACCTGTACAAGTTCTTTTTTCCATCATTGTTTTGTATATGAATCGTTGGATTTTATTTGCGCTTGTGTTGATGATCGCCTTTCCATCGATGTTAATGAAAAAAATCATTTAGATGATAATATTGATGTTGATAACGATAGATATAACAATAAAGATGGAAAAACGGTGTTAATGAAGGAACTAGTAATAACAACAATATTAATAGTGACGATAAGAGTAAAAGCTATCTTGCCTTTTATTTACGCTCATCATTATTTTCG